GGGGGGGGGGGCGCTGACCGCGCGGAGTGGCGCGGCAGCCGAGGCCGATGTTAATTTATAGCCGGGTGTGCGTGTGTCTCCCGCCTCGCGGCCCCTGGCCGCGGGACAGCTTCTGTCCAGTCCGCATTTAGGCTGTTGAGTTGGTGATTTCTGCCGTTATCTGTTTGATATTTCGTCGCGCTAATGTATTCACATTTCGTTTGGGTGGTGGGGAAGGGGGTATTTTGTTTCAGGTTTTTCAAGGTTTTACTCTTAATTCCTAAATGAGAGATCAATAAATTTTATAACCAACGTCATGGAGTCCTGATAATTTTGCGGGCCTGAAACTTTACGTGCGGGTTGGGAAGGGGACTTTCACTTGGTATTAGAACCTTGGCCCCGTCCCTGGGGGAGACGAGCGTGATCCGAAATGCTTTCCGACTCCTGGTCAGCCAAAACAGCTCGGCTCCCAATCTGTTCTACGGAAACTCGGAGGAGCAAGCGGAGGGTCTTCCGGCAGCCGACGGACGCTAGCCGAGGCGGACACCCCGCGGCCACGCACTTGTTGATAGCGGCGAGCGTCCGCTGGAGGAGTGTCTGCGGCAGCGGCCACGCGGGGCGGGGAGGGGCGGCCCGCGGCCGCGGAAACCCGCCCAGAGAGGGGGCACCTGTACCTCTGTGCGCTGGGGCGGGAAGACACTTGAGCCGAGCTGAAATATTTACAAAACGAAAACCCTTCGGAAATCTCAATTACCCTATTAAAAACAAATGGTTACAGGAGTCCCCGGCAGGAAGTAAGTACATTTGCACCGTGGTGGCCTAAGCGGCGGGGCTAGCATTCAGCCCCAGAAGGTGTGGTTTTAAAAAGTACACCTTAGACTTGAAAAGCTCTCCAAAACTCCTCCGACGGCGTTTTCTTTTTGACTTGTCAACCCAGACCACTTATTTGTTTTCTAGAAGAGGCCCTCTCTCATCCCAAGCCTCGAGCCCGCTCTCTACTCCTCCCTCCCTCTTCCCTCCTC